GTGTAAAACGACATTGACTTAATTAAACTCATTTATAGTAGTACTATTCACGTGTTTCATGAGTTGTGCAAAACGACGTTGGCTTAATGAGTTGTGCAAAACGACGTTGACTTAGTTAAACTCATTTAGACCATCTCAGCAACATATAAGGGAAAATTTGGAAAATTGCCCCACATTGAAATTGAGTTTGTCTCAATACACTTTTCTCATTTTTTGCCATTTTGTACTTATATTACCCTTAAACAAACAAAAATAATTACAAATAAATAGTTTTTAAAATTTTCAAAAATACTATAACTACAAGAACGTAAAAGATAGGCATTTCTATATATTGAAATATTTTTAAAGTTCACAAAAAAACTGAAAAATAATTTTATATTTTTCTTCTACGCCTTCCAGAATGTACGTTCTACGGCTAGTAACTCTACGGACCCGTAGATTATTGGTTCTGCATATTTCATTAGTATCTACCGAGTTGTAGAAAATGTGTTCTACTGAATGGTCTGTCTTCTACGTCTTCGTAGAATATTTCTTCCACCGTTTACAAAATCATCTACTGTACGTAGAATACGCATTCTACTGCATTGTCTATCATCTACCGTATCTAGAATAACAATTCTACTACATTGTCTATCATCTACCGAAAATAGAATGTGTTTTCTACTAAGTTAGTTTTCAAATTTCTTAAATCTATGATCTTAAATGAAGTGAATATTCGATTTTCAAAATTCGGTTTTTAAAGATATTATGCATATCATATAACTTCTTCTTCTTTCTCCGTTTTGATTTCTAGCAGGTTTCCAAAGAAATCAGGCGTTTTGGTAGGTCACTCGCTCCTAACCAAAACCATTCAGCTGGGCCGGCATGATAGTGCCTTGAGCTTACTGTTATATAACGGAACCTCTTGATCGCAAATATACTTGAAAAGTGGCCATAGGGTGGTGCATATTTCGAATCGAGAATTGCAAATTTTTTCATTTTTATGAACCTTTTTGACAAAAAAATTTGACACAAACGCCTAAAAGCATCCAAAACAGCTATGACAAAGACTCGAAGCTATATATTTTGTTTGGTTTGATTCAAGAAAGAGACGTGAGTTTTCAAATTGTATATAATGCACAAGAAGTTTGGAGTTGCAAGCCATCGACTTGATATTAAACTACAAAGAGAGAAAGTTTATGTCCTTGCAAAGGGAAAAAAATGAGATGTCTCATTCATAAACCGTGAAGCAATTCATCTGGTTTCCTACTTACTTAATGTAGTAAGACATCCATTTAAAACCCTCATCATACCCCATTTTACGGAAGACCTCATGGGGACGAACACCCGAGTCTCCGAGACTCACATTGCCTTTACTGGTTGTGAAATTCGTGAGACCCAAGTGATACTTCATCTCATCTTCTGAGGCTGCATAAGGAAGATCAATTTTGTTCCCAAGAATAAGAAAAGGAACATTTCCTAAGGCTTCGACTGATAGAAGAGCGTCAAGCTCTCTTTTCGACTCCAAAAATATCTCCTTGTCGTTAGCATCCACTAGGTACACAACAGCATCAACCTTTACATACAGATAAAGTAAGCAAAGCGTTTCTATAAGCAAAGATAGATAGATTCACTTACACTGTTACACAAATGTGCATAAGCAATCAACTTGGTTAAGCTTAAGAGAGTTTCTACCACTATACATTTTTCTGAATAACTCAACATATTTAACTTCTAAAACATAAAACATGTATCTAGTTCTGATGCAAAGAGGGATCTTCAACCTTAGCATAGTAGTCTTTCCAAACCCTACGAGCAATCTGATGTCTTCCCAAGTCAAAAGCCTTGAACTTGATTTTGCCAATGCTCAATTCCTAAGAAGTCGGATGCTGTGTTGGCTGATGCTGAACTAATCTCTGCAACAAGAACACACAACACACACAAACAACTCGAGATTAAGCATCGTCGGATTTCGTACATGTCCCAACACAAAATTGGTTGTATACGAAAGCCAAAGAAGGAGAAAAAGAGGAGAAGGGCAAATTGGAGGCGAGTTATGAATGGAGAAGATGGATTCGACGGAGACGACGAAATTGTTTTCTTTATCGGTAAAAACAATGAGAAGAGAAAGTTCTAAACCCTTAAGATAGTTATTAATATTACAATATTTTCTATCATTCTGATTTTTAATATTTTTTGTATTATTTAAAATCTTTTTTTAAATTCATGAAAACAAATTTTTAATATAATTGAAGGGTTAAAAACGAGTTTCAACATAATTGAAGCCTAATAAGACATTTTTTTAGAGTTTTAAGCGTATTGGGACAAACTCAATGTCAATATGGGACAATTTTCTAAATTTTCCATATAATATTAGTATTTCTTTTTTTTTAAATTGAGAGACTCACTACCTAATACCACATCCATTAGTTAGATTTTTTTTTGTAAGGACATCCATTAGTTAGATACCCAATGAGTATTTCATCAATAAAATATTAATATTATTTAATTTAAAAATTTTATTTTAAATTTTCACTAATATTTTTAAACATATCATTTACATTTTAAAGATGTTAAAAAATCATATTACATTTTAAAATATATATTTTAAAAAAAATCAAAGTTTTTATTAGTTATTCATTCTACCATTATATTAACTAAAACAGTACTATTATATATCTTGTATTAGTTTATGTAAAATCGATTAAAAATAATATTAAATATTTTAAAATAGAATATTTAGTTTTAAAAATCTCATTTTTTAATAATATAGTATTTTATAAACTAAAACAATATTAATCCCTTTTATGTTTCGTATTAAACTTAAATAATATCAATTAAAATAATGTTAATAAATAATTTATATTTATGCATAATGGAGCTTGATATATAGATAAATTTATTTTATAATTTAT